CAGAAGACGGGAGGGCAGGGCAGGGCAGGGCAGGGTAGGAAGGGCCTCCGTTTGGGGTGGACAGTGTGGGGAAGATGCCTCCTTAAGGATCTGGGGGAAGCTATTATAACAGCTACCGCTTCCACCTGGCCACCTCCACCTGTCAGGGTGTGACCTGTGTGTCACTCATGCCTGTCCCCTTCGCTCCTTCCCGCTGCTCAGGATGAAGCCTGAATCCTAAAACCTCTTGTGATCCAGAACCCTGCTCCCAACCTCCAAACCCCATCTGATCCTGCCCTCTGCTCGGTCTTCTATCCAGACACACAGGCTCCCTTTCCGGTCCTCAAATGTGCCTTGGTGTGCTGCTCCTCTGGCCCCATCTCTCTCCCGCCCCTTGCCGATTGCACTAGTTTTGCTAGCCCGCAGCTCAAACATCAGGGAAGCCTTCCCTGACCCCAGACCAGGTCATATGCCCCCATCATCATGAAGTTGGTCACAAGAAGCAATTGTGCAGGTTGTGGCATAAATTAATGGTTGAGGGCGGGGCCATGAAGTCAGGCTGCCTGGGTTCAAACCCCAGGTCCGCCTTTGAGCAACTGCCCTAACTAGTCTGAACCTCAGCGTACTCATCAGTAAGATGGGGGTAACAATAGCGCCTACGTCCTAGGGTTGTTAGGGGGAGTAAAAATGCCATCATTGCAAAGACCCCTAGGATAGTGCCTGGCGGGTCGTACACAGTCTTTTACACTCATTATTATGAAGGATCACTTACCAGAATGATGCTTTGCTGGAAGTCAATGAGGGGGAGCGTGCATGTGGAGGGCTGGGGAGGGACCCCCCAGCAGCACAGGCAGCGGGCCCCTCTGTCTCAGCCTCTCAGGGAACCAGCTGGAGGACGAAGGCTGTCGACTGGTGGCAGAGGCTGCCCCCCAGCTGCGCATCGCCAGGAAGCTGGAGTGAGTGCCCACCCCACTGTTGGGTAACAGGGCCCCGAGAGTCCCAGCGGGTCCCTGCGACCCCTGATCCCCATGCCTATCATCGCCGAGGGAGCTGCTCCCCACCGCCCCCCGCCACCCTCTTCAAACTCCAGCAAAGTCCCAGTGGCTCAACCATGCCCTGCTTTTGCCTCTGACATGAGCCAGTTATGAAAGCCCTGGTAGAATGGGTCCCTTGTACCTCAGTGGCTTGCATTCTAGTTTGTCCTTACAACAGCCCCCGGTGGAGTGGGATGAGGTGGGGTGGAGTGTTCCGTTGAGCCAACGTTGGGGGATGGGATGAGTGGGTGCTGGGGTGTTGGGGTGGGATGTTGGGGTGGGAAGTGGTGTGTGAGGCTGGAGGTACAGTGTTGGGTGAGGGGGTGGGTTGTGGAGGTGGTGGGATGGGAATAAAGGGTATTGAGCTGTGGGGCGTGCTACGCTGTTGCATGGTAAAGTGGGGGTGCTGTCTGGGTGGTATGTATTGGGTCTTAGCATGTGGGCTGGGGTGGGGGTGTTGAGGCTGGGTAACTGATGTGGAACCTTGGCTTTGTATTGAAATCCTGGCTCTGTCATTTGGTAGCTTTGTGACCCTGGGAAAGTACTTGAACGGCTCCCAGCCTCCGTCTCCCCACTTGTTAAATGCGCTTAGAATGGTGGTTACTTTACACACCAGGGAACTGAGGCTCCGAGGGGCGAAAGCCGTGGGTCGGTTCTGATCACTCAGCTGGAGAACTTGGTTCTCTGAGTGGAGCAGGGTCCTGCGTCTCTCGGCTCATCCACCGGAGCTGGAATCCTTTGAGACCCGCTGGCCAAGGACCCAGGACATCCCAACAGGGACAGCCAGGCAGCGGCTGAGCCAGGAGGAGGGGGCTGGGGACTTCAGCCGCCTGCTGATGGCTGCCCCCCCTCCTCTCCACAGCCTCAGTGACAACGGGCTCTCGGTGGCGGGGGTGCCCTGGGTGCTGAGGGCAGTGAGCACGTGCCGGAACCTGGCAGACCTGCACATCAGGTGAGAGCTGGCCATGGACGCCTGTCACCATGCCCTTCTCCGGCCCAGAGCTCCGGCTCCTCCCATCATTCCCGGTCCCGGTTGCCTCCAGAGGGAGGGACTTAATAAGACCACAATACGGCTGCAGGGTTAGTATGGAGTGGTGCAGACAGCAAACAGAAGCCTGTTAACGCGGCATTTTTCTAACAAAGCTTTTCAAACATACTCCAAGGTAGGGAGCGTGGTATAACGAACACCAGTTCCCACCAATAATTACCCGCACTGTGTCACTCTTGCAGCCTCTGTCCCTTGAAAACCTGATTTTTAGAAGAAAATTTGTCATTTTAATCCCATTTTTAAGAAAAATAAAAAGGAAAAGAACATTCACTGCATTAAAAAGGAAAATACTTTGAAGGACCTTCTCCCAAAGTCAGTGGTCACTGATACGTGGGAGAGACGGGGGGGTGATTTTCTTTTTACTTTATTATATTTTCTAAGTCCTCCATAGGGATGAAGTGGGACTTTTATAATGAGAAAAAATATATACATAAAAAATATATACATTCCGTTTGCAAGGCGAGGTTCGGGATGCCGGGCTGTAAGTCACAGCCTCCTGTGGATTCTCAATGTCTGTCCCGACCTGGCAGCGACCTCCCTCTGCTGGGCAGGCAACCTCAGCCCAGGTGCCACCGGTGGACAGAGGGAGGGTTTCAGCCCGAGGCCCAAACCACAGAGACCACGGAACTGAGGTTTTCTTTCAAGGGCGTGCCCGGAGACGAGGGCTGATGACAGTTTGAAATCTGTGAAAGAAAGACTTCAGGCCCCTGGAATCTCAGAGGGTCAGGGGAGGTCAGAGGAAGTGACTGCAGCTAGAGGCTGGGGGATGGCAACTGAGGTTCCTCTCCAGGTCAGGCTGAAAAATGACCCGGGTCCTGGCCAGTTAGCTCCGTGGAGAGAGCATCAGCCTGCAGACGGAAGGGTTTGATTCCGGTCAAGGGCATGTACCCCATTGCAGGCTGGATCCCCCGGCCCCAGTCGGGGTGCGTGCAGGAGGCAACCTCTCTCACATCAATGTTTCTCTCTCTCTCTGTCTCTCACCCTCCCTTCCACTCTAAAAATCAATGGAAAAATATTCTCAGCTGAGGATTAACAAAAAAAAAACAAAAACAAAATGATCCGGAGCAGCAGGAACTCCATAAGCCTCTTGCCTCCTCCCTCTCTTCTCTCCGCAGCCTCATGCACAAAACTGTGGTTCTCATGTTTGCCCCAGAACCGGAGGAGCAGGAGGGGACCCAGGAGAGGTAGGGCCCCAACACCATCCCGACCTCACCCTGGGCCAGGGCCACCCCCTCCCTGGCTCCCACAGCTGGTCAGTGCCACTCAACTGCCAAGGAACCTTGGCATTCACATAGGCTCAGCAAGCCAGCGGGCACAGAGGAAGATGCAGCCCTAAGGGGATGGTCAAAGGCGAGATGCTGTCCCATCCCCTAGTGGCGCCTGAAGAGAGCCCTGTCATTCAGGATGGAGATGGCACCTTGCTGGGGCAGGCGCAGGGTAGCCAGAGAGACCCAGGCCCTTCGGCCCGAACCTGAGGATCACCTGGCCCACGCGTCTGATTTTGGCCAGAACATCTGGCTTCCTTTGGCACAAGGACCCTTGGAGAGTGTTTGCCTCCTCCAGGGTGCCTTCCTGGATTGCCCCGGCCCAGCACATGGGCAGAGACTCAGCTCTGTGCTCCTCGGTGTCCACCTGAAAGGTCTTCTGTAGGGTCTGAGCTTTCGGAGGCTTGCCTGAAGCTGAGGCTGGCATCTCTGAAGGCGATGATGATGATGAGGAGGATATTAATGATGCTAACAGCCAAGGTTAATGGAGCACCAAGCACCAAACTAAGGCAACTCACGTACATTCTCCAGTAAGAGCCTAAGTGATTGTCCCAGGTGACACAGCCAGGACACAGAGGAGCCTGGTGGAACCAAGGTCTGGCGGTCTCCAGGCCTGGGTGGAGACTGCATGGTGGGAAGTGAGGCGTTTGCTCAGCCTGGCCTGGTGTGTGTCTCTCCAGGGCTGCGTTTCTTGACAGCCTTACGTTCCGGATGTCCTCTGAGCTGCCCCCGAGCTCCCCGAGGATCAGGTACAGTGACAACCTGCAGGGCTTGGGTGTGGCTCCGGCCCCCTCCCTCCCTCTGCATGAAGCCCGCCCCTGCCCCCCAGCCCCAGCTGCTCCCTGGATGACACGATCTGCTCCAGCCAGGAGTTGGGGCCTGGCTTCCCTGCCTCCCACTCTCCTGCCCAGCCCTCCACAATCACCTTCCCCACCAGCGCCCCCCTTAAGTGCCCCCAACTTCCAGCAACTGAGGGGGTGTGGGAACTCTGGGCAGAGAGCATGGGGGGCTTGCAGCCCCTTCTTTTCAGGTCCTGAGGCTCAGCTCAGCCCCCCAGGACGCTCATCGGTTGTCCTCTGGCCTCTCTCTTCTCTGTCCATCTGCCTCTCCCTCCCTCTGTCTGTCTCTCTCAGATCATGTCTGTCTGATTTTCTGTGGACCTTTTCTCATTGTCTGTTTGTCCTCCTCCGGCACCATGCACACATGCACGTGTGTGTGTGTGTGTGTGTGTGTGTGCTTCTGTGCTCTCTCTCTCTCTCTCTCTCCTCTCTTTGTCCATCTTGGTGTCCCTCTCGCTGTGCCTCTGACTCTGGTTTTCCTCTGCCTGTGTGTGACGTCTGTGTGTTATGTGTTGGTCCCTCTTTGTCTGTCTGTCTGGGTGCCAGATGCGTCTGCCCCAGTCCCTCCTGCAAGCCTGTGTGCTTGGGGCCAGGCCTGCTCTGGCCTCTGTGGCGGGGCTGCAGGGCTGTGGTTCTGCCTCCGCAGGCTGACACACTGCGGTTTGCAAGCTGAGCACCTGGAGCAGCTCTGCAAGGCCTTGGAAGGAAGCTGTCGCCTGGGCCACCTCGAGTGAGTGGCGCTGTCGGAAGGCGGGTGGGTGGGGCTCAGCAGTGAGTGAGAGCTGGGTTTTGTTTTGCTTTTTAAGATTTGGACCTCCTGCTGCAATAGAGAATCTGGTGAAAGTTGTGCCTCTTCCCCCTAGAATATAGGTTCCCCCACACTTGACTCCCCCTGAAGCCCATCCCTGACCCCCTCGGAGTCACAAACCCCAGGATAAGAACCTGGGGTTTGTGATTGAGGCGATGGGATGGAGAGACAAAACTTCTGCCCACCCTCCCTCCACCAACCTGTTCTCCCCGCCCTCCCAGCTTATCAAGGAATGCTCTCGGGGACCAAGGTGCTGCCCAGCTGGCTCGGTGGCTCCCAGCGCTGGGCGCTCTGCAGTCCTTGAAGTGAGTAGCTGGATGTCCTCGTGGCAATGAGGGGATATGGCGGGGGGCGGGGGGCAGTGAGGG